TTACCCCTGCTTGGCGTGTACCTGGTATTGGTGCGCAATGCCCACGAATGTATCTCGATGAGTGTGGAGTCCATTTGCTACGTACTCTCTACTGCGTCAACCCCCCCCCCCTTTCCCCCAAGGCGTCGATGAGATTCACGGGATGCTAAATGAATTGCAATGGTTATATAAATGTCTGCCTCTCCCCAGGTTTTCTCAGGTCCTTCGATTCGTCTATCAAACAAAAGCATCAGTTTCAAAACTTAGTCACATCTATTCCATCGACTACTACTTCTTCAAAGCCTCTCAGTCTTGACAAGTCTCAGTTGCCTATCTCAGCAACCTAGCCAACCTACTACTCTCACCAACAACACACCTGCGAGCGCACAATTCCAATCTGTGCCCTCAACCATCCCGGTCAATACCACACACAACATTGCAAATGATTGCCGACTTCACCATGCCTGCTCAGCGACCTTCGCAACTTCCTCCCTGCCCTGGGCCACCACCCAGCCGGCCCCTCCCTCCTCTGCCAAAGTGAGCGAGTGGAAGCGACTTCGATCTCATGACAGCAATGTCTAAACAATGCGCGCCCGAAACGTCGCCTTCCCGGCCTGCTTGATCTTGACACGGAACAACGCTGGCCACTCCGCTTTACTCGCGCAACCAATACCGACAGCATCATTTGTGGCCCTGGAGGCGCCTGATCGCCAACATTTGATTGGGTCCTTTCCCACGGATCAAGCTGTCGGCAGCCAACCACCAATAGCAACTACACCACCAACATCCACCTAATGTTTCCATGCATGCAGCATTTATGCATGCAGCCCAACCCACGCGCCATATGTGAGCTCATCCTCTGCTGCGCATGAGGGCAGATCCCGCAGCATCCCGTGCTCAGCGCAACCCTAAGTTACCACGTCTTGGGTCTGTCGAATCAGTACCCTTGTTTCCCCCGAGATTTGCTCACACAAACTCTGCGATTCTTCCCACGTTCGACTTCAACGCCTGCATCTGCAACACGGGACGCGCGCATCGTTCCCCCTCACTTGGCTTTCCCTGTCGCTTTCGCCGGCCCGAAAGCAACTGACAGGCTCTACCCCCAACACTCTGCTTCTCACTTCTCTAATATTGACCTTGCGAGCGTTGGCAATGGTATCAAGGCTTATCATTACACCTACTTTTAATTGGTCTATTGACCCGTTACTGAATTTCGGTACATGCATTACGGTATTTCTGGGAGGGTTTTTCATGTTTTAGATTTGGGAGATGGGGAGATCAGCTACGATACCCGTAACCTACTTGGTTGATTATGAATTTCCTGGGAATTTTTGGTTTTTGTCATTTATTAAGCATTACGAGACGCGTTGATATCACGAAGTTATACACTGGAATTTATTCGGGAACACACAATAGACTTACTTATCTGAATGGAACACGGTATGAACCGGAATCTCTCTTTACCTATCGTCCTTGCGTCCTCAACAAAATCGTGCCCTGCCCTGCCGACTATCCCCTGGAGCAGTTTCCGACTTGCCGCCCGTGTGCAACATAACTGCCGCAACTCTCAGCCCACCACTGCTGCGACCTGCTCAAAACCAAGCCTATTCATTTCCCAGCCTCCGCTCACCTACATATGCATATGTATGCATCACAATTTTACAATACAGGCAGCTAGCAGACAGAGGCATGCGCATCTTCCCCATAATTGATATTGGGCGGACGCTATTTGGAGCTGCAATCATAAAAATCTCGGCTTGTTTAATTAACATGTATAGCTGATCAATAACCAGTTTATTTTGGTTCGCTGCGCCACTAGCGCGCCCCCTCTAGCTCTCTTCTCCTCAATCCCAACAGTGACCAGCCCTTGGGCGCGCCATGCATTAGCAACTTGCGCAGCTGCAGACAGCCCAAATTACCAGCCCAGGTAGCGGGTAAATTGTGGTCTGGGCGCGTCGGGTTAAAAGGAAGTTGACGGAATAGCGGGAGGGCGTGGTGTGTCTTCATGAACTGCCTCCCTGGCTATGCAAGTCAGCTGCTGCGCTCGACCAACATACATGCACGACTACTGGCCCCTAAATATGGCACCACCGTTTTCTCCTGTCGGATCTCTGTTCAGCTGTTCAGGGCCTAGTCCTGTATGGAGGGCCGATCTTCCAACCCCTCCGTCCGCGCCTTTGCGCAAACCCCTCTCCATTGCCATCTGAGGCCATTTGAGAAGTCGATCGGGGTCAGGGAAGTCGGTGTAGCGACATCCAAGGCGCTAAAGGGGGGGAGAGGGTAAATGGACAAAGGGGGAAATTCGAGTCTAACGAGCGGTTGTGCTGATCGCTCCTATCTTCTTCGATCATCCTTTGGCGCCAAACTGGCGATCGCGATCATCTCGTTGCGATCGAGTCAGTCAGCACGTGGCGGGCAAACGCCCAGTGGCGAATCAAGGGGGAGGCAAAGGTTTAATTATCCAGACGAACTGTTTCAACCGTCAAACCCAACAGACGCGATCCCCAGGCCGGCGCAAGCATTAGTTTCACTCCGCTCGTCTCCCAGCGACTTTCCCCCTCCACTGACACTCCTCAATAATTACTCTGGGCCTAGATGTCCCCCTCGCGCGGGGAGATGAATCTATCGCGCTGCCGTTCACGGAGCATTCACGCCGCTTTGCAGATCTAAAGCCACGCCTTAGACACGTCATAGTTTGGGGGCGCTAGAATCCCCCTCCACGATTTCTACAAAATGGACTTTGCGCCAGCCTGGGCGACGACCCGGCTGATATCGGGGCCTGTATATATTAGATTGTAGTTAACTAGTTATGACCTCATGGATCCTGCCAATGGGCCGTGTGCATTGCGTCTGCCTTGCGCAGAAGCACCCCGGACAGCGGGCAGGGCATCGTGGTTCACTAGCAACAGACATTGCTGCACCTCACCAGTCGAACCCTTGCTCACCTTAATACACTTGTCCCCGTACGTGCCCGAGAGATGTATAACCCATGCGAGTCCTACTAGCCCTAAGCCGCCTGCGTCGAGTCTTGTGATGCGATTTCGCCGTATTGATCCAGGATCGGCCCGTAAGAAAATGGTGAAAAGAAAAAAAGATCCTATGCTGTTGGTCCTGCCTTGGCCCCCAGCCGCATCGTGAAGACCTGCATGCCTGGGGCCTGGGGTGGGAGTTCACGTCGGCCGCTTAGAGGCCGGATAGTCACTTTGAGACAATAAGAGGAGGGAGTGTAGGCTACACCCCTCGAGGAGAATCTCGCTGGCCTTCATGCCTAGTAGTTATCACTGTGCGCATGAGAGATAATGGCAAGTTTCTGAAGATTTGTCGTCTTTCTTCGCATTGAGCGTTGGTGAGTTGGCAAGCCTCGTGCGGCGCTCTCAGTGGACAGACACTCCAATCACGTGATTCCGTGATACTGAGTCTGTATCAAGTAGCACCATGTGACAATGGCCGCTGCTACGTGCCTTGGCAAGAAGCGTCTCTAAAACGGGCCGCCAACGCCACAAGATACCATCACAAAATGCTTGAGCTATATGTATGGGGTCAGGCTTTTGGCCTGGCCTCCATTGACCCCGAATGTCTGGCCATTATTGCATACCTTCACCATGCAGCCCCCAAATCCGGTTGGCGCATCATCCCCTTCAATGATCCCTCAACCAGCCCTTTAGGTATGCCAACTCATGCATTTTTCCATTCACCTGATGAAGCATCATCCTAATCGGAACAGATCATCTGCCAGCATTGAACCATGACGGGGTGTGGACGAATGGGTTCCGCCAGATTGTCAATTACGTCAAGTCTCACTCGCTCTGCCGTGACCTGGACGAAAACCTATCTGCAGCACAGCAAGCGGACAATGTTGCATACAGCGCCCATCTGTCATGCCATGCAGCTCTTCTCTTGGATGTGACTCTCTACCTGTCAGCTGCAAACTGGTCCGCCACAACCTTGCCAGCCTACAGCAAGTTTCTCCCATACCCGATCGTATGGACCATACCGCCCTTGATACGGGCTGAGGCTACCAAGCGGGTAGAGCATCTAGGACTGGCGGAGCTGGACTCTGACTTTGATCCCAGCTCATCGCTGCACCTCTCGGGTGGTAGAGAGTTTCTCCCTGAGAGCTTCCGCCGAAGTCTGCCTGTCGGTACCAAGAAGACCGTCCGGGAGGAAATGACACCTGAGCAGCTGGCTGCGATCCGGTTGACTGGCCTGACAGAGGACTGTCTGTCCGTATTGGATGATTTGTTGCCTCCATCGGGTGACAATCTTCGATTTTTCGGATCCGAGGTCTCCTCGCTGGATTGTCTTGCCTTTGGCTATCTCGCCCTCTTACATGATGCGCCCGTCCCACGACCATTCGTCAAGGACTGGATAGAACAAAACAGGCCTCGAATTTCAAGTTTCGTCGCTGATATGAAAGCAAGTCTAGTTGACTTGCCCTTCTCCTCGCCTGAAAGACTAGGTGTCTTGCGAGTTGGTGCCAGGACTCTGGAGACCATGATACTCAATGGCCCAGAGCTTGGTGCTCAGCTGATCCGCGGAATGCTTCGGACAGAAGAGGGCGCTAAGAACATTGGACAGAGGACACTCATGTTCGTCATGGGGGCCCTAGCAGCCGGCGCGACGATGGGGTACGGGTACCATTACTATCGTTCATTACAGCCGTTTGGTCTGCGGACTCAAGTGTGGACAGGGCCTCGAGCCCCCTCGCTAAGTCAATTCGGAGAGCTGGGCTCTATCCTCGACAGTGCTCTGGGGCCTATGCCCTCATCAGCGGGTAGTTTCCAAGGCCTATCATCCCCAGGCCGCATCATTGATACCGATTCCGAGGTAGACTGAAGGCAGACGGCGGCTTGTAACGAAAAATGATAAATATGTACATCTATATAGATACATTTTAATGTGTAAAGTATGAATAGACTCTGATGACAGCCTTTCACTACAAGTAAAACAAGTCCCTGCTCCGTTGATATGATATTAATAAGATTTTCCTACTTTTTCCTTCTGACCTTTAGATCTACAGTCTATATTTGTTTCGCTTCCTTTCCAACCATTTCGGGTCTCTCAACCTCCCATTCGTCTCTGAGAACGGCAAAGGTGAGGTCAGACACCAAAAGACTCTGTCCTAAGCTCCAAACCAATGTTATAGCATAGAAGAAATTGGCGTTTCCGCTGCCAGCGTAAATCCACAGATGATAGAATGCCGGGCCGAGGAAACTAGCATACATGAGGGTCGCCGAGGCGACGTAGGTGTACCTCATCAGGGGGAGGAGGTGAGTGTAGAGCGAAAACAGCCCCAGGAAGAGACTGGCGTCGGAAATCGATGGGTATGGTTTGAAAATAGAGAATATCCCCAGGAGCACGGCTAAAGCGGCCAGGGGCTGAGTTCGGAGACGGATAGATAAGCCACCGACATAGGATGCAAGGTGAAGCCAGAAAAGCGCAAGGAAGAATGAGCGGAAGGAGTCGAACATCTCGATAAAGAAGTACCACCAAAGACCAACAGTAGGCGTAAGATCCGTCAAAGTGAGCTGGATGCCATATGTACGCGCCAGGAACTCCCAAGAGTTACCCGTCAGCGCATATGACATGCCAAGCAGCACGGATAGACACCCTGCCACCACCAGCACATTGACGGCCGAGAACTTCAGGACTGACGTTTTTTGAGAAGCCCTTCTATCGTATGCAAGAAGAACCAGCGGGGGTAGAAGAAGCACCGGATACATTGAGAGGTAGCTGGCAAAGGATAGCGCGACCATGGCGTGGAAAGAAAAGCCTTGTACTGCCTTGGCGATGGCATATAGAATGGCGCAATTGGTGAATACACTTGTAGTTCGTCCGACGCAGCTCGCTATTGTCAATGGGTTGAATAAGAACCTATAGTCAACATGTTAGTACTCGACATAACTCAATATACAACGATATAGGTTCCTTACGCCGCAGCAATGACCAGCCCAGTTGACCCCTTGCCTCGTCGCGGCGATGTAAATAGCCTCGACTTGCCAGCCTCCCCAGAAGCTGCAATCTTCACAAGCGCATCGGCGCTGAGTAAATCGATGAGGATGTATAAGAGCGGCGTGAAGATCGGCCAGGATTTTGAATCGGGGAGCAGCGAGAACAAGGGAAGAAGTAATGGTGCTTGGTGGTAGACACCTCCGTCATATGGCCAAACATTATGGTTGTAAAGAAACAGTCCTTCTTCCACTATTAGACGATTCGTTAGTAAGTGCGCTTTGAGGCCGTGAGAGCTGTCAAGACTGACATCTTTTGAAGCTCGTGACTGGGGTTGAGATCTCGACGCGACCAGTGAGCAGATCGGGCAAGCCAGGGAAGGCGAAGAAAAGAACCAATCGCAACAAGACAGCTATAGCATATATGCCAGCCTTGCCTCGAAATGTCATTTTGGCGGACATGGCATTTCTCAGCCAACAATCCGATATACTAGATCGAGGCTCCAGGTGAGGGGCGATAGCTTCAGAGCTCCCTGCGATGGTAATGTTAAGCAAGGCCACCTGGCGTTGAACTGCACTAAGGCACAGTGATTAGATGTGGCTCAGCCGCCTGGGGAAGGGTCTGTGGCGTAACAAGGGAGGCTACCCGGGCGGTGAGAGAATGGATCCGGTTCAAAGAGCGCTATGCCCAAGGTAGCACAGCGCAGGGCGGTACCTGCTGGCAGTAAAACCGTAGCTCGAAAAAAGTTGAGAATTTCCAGGATGCCCCACTGCTGCAGAACGCTTCCAGCTTTGCCCATATCGCATCGCAGCGCAAAGACTTCCAGCCATGCCACGCATCAAGAAGAAGGGCCAGGCCGGCGCGGCCAAGAACTATGTGACGCGAAACCAGGCCATTCGCAAACTCCAAATTACACTTCCTGATTTCCGCAAGTTGTGCATTTGGAAGGGAATCTACCCTCGTGAGCCCCGAAGCAAGAAGAAGGTGTCGAAATCTTCCACCAGCTCGACAACTTTTTACTACGCCAAGGACATCCAGTATCTGCTCCATGAGCCTCTTCTGCAGAAGTTCCGCGATCAAAAATCCCTCGAGAAGAAGATTTCAAAGGCATTGGGCAGGGGTGATGTTACCGATGCAGCAAGACTCGAGGGCAATGCGGCCAGGCCAGAGAAGACCGGCAAGCCGCGATACACTCTCGACCATGTCATTCGCGAGCGATACCCAACTTTCATTGATGCCCTGAGGGACTTGGATGATTGCTTGTCCATGCTCTTCTTGTTTGCCAATCTTCCCTCGACCTCCTCTGTCCCGGCAAAGATGATTGCCCGTTGCGAGCGACTGACTCTGGAATTCCAACACTATCTGATTGCGTCGCATAGCCTCACCAAGTCTTTCCTGTCTATCAAGGGTATCTACTACCAAGCGAACATCAAGGGTGAAGACGTTCTGTGGCTTGTGCCCTACAAGTTCAACCAGCGAATTGTCGGAGACGTCGATTTCCGAATCATGGGCACCTTCGTCGAATTCTACATGACCCTCCTGAGCTTTGTCAATTTTAAGCTCTATACTTCCCTTGGTCTCAAATATCCCCCCAAGTTCGATCAATTGAAGGACGAGAACGCTGCAGAACTCGGTGCTTTCACTCTCGAGGGCCTGACGCTGGTCAATGATGAGCCACAGAAGCAGATTGAGGACCACAAGCCCGACCCCAAGGTCCAGGCTGCAGTCAACAAGGTTTTGAAGCAGATTGACAGCAAGGCCGCGAACGGAGATGACGCAGGTGACGCCGTCGAGGTTGAAGGTGAAGAGAGCAACGACACCATCGACAAGTTCGAGCCAGCTGCCCCAGGTGGCGATGTTCTTCCCCAACCATCCAACCTTGGTGGCAGCCAGGGTGCTCTTTTCTCAAATTGCACATTCTATCTCTCGCGTGAAACTCCCCGCCAGCCTTTGGAGTTCATCCTCAAGGCTTTTGGGTGCAAGCGCGTGGGTTGGGATGCTGTTCTTGGCGATGGCGCATTCACTACGAATGAGCTTGACCCTGCAATCACTCACCAAATCGTCGATAGGCCACCAGTCCAGAATGCCGTGGAGGCAGAGACGGAGGGCGACGACAACCAGACATCACAGAAACTCGGCGCCAATCGCCGAGTGCCAGGCCGTGTCTATCTCCAGCCCCAGTGGGTTTGGGATAGTGTCAACGATGGAGAGCTGAAGGAGCCCCATCTCTACGCCCCTGGAACCTCACTCCCCCCTCATCTTAGCCCCTTCGTCAAGGCAATGCCCGGAGCTTATGATCCTACAATGCCACTGGAGGAGCAGGAACCTGAGCGCGAAGCTTTGGAGGCCGAGGACGATGACGAGGAGGTGACTGCCGAGGGCATGGATGTTGCTGAGGACGATGATGCCGAGGATGACGATGCCGAGAATGACTTCGATGGCGTCTCCGAGGATGAAGAAGAAGAGGAAGCCGATGGCTCCGACGATGACGCTGAGCGACAACGCGAGCTTGAGGCTGAGTTGGCCGGCTCCTCTGTCAAGTCGAAATCAATCAGCAAGAAGGCCAAGGCCAAGGAAGATAAGCTCAAGGCTCTGTCGAAGAAGTCGCGTGAGGATGAAGAGGAGCTCGAGCGAGCCAAGGGCATGCTGAGCAAGAAGAAGCGGAAGTTGTATGAGCAGATGATCTACACCAACACCAAGAAGAACGCTGCAGATGAGAAGTTGAGGGCTAAGAGGAGAAGGCTGGAAAAGGAGGGTAAAAGGGCAAAAGCATAATTACGATCTGTGAATTGTTTGGTTTGTTTGTGTTTTATTCTAGGTGTCAACCTGCATAACTCGCTGGGCAAGGGGCGTTTTGCCTGTCAGTAGATTCTTAAAATAAATCTTAGATATATACAAAATACTCGAAACTCGGAATAGTCTATGTCATTTGTGTGCGATTGTTTGATATATCATGAATTGCTCCTCTACAGTGGTGAAGTAGCTGTGGCTGCATTAATTTTTTTTCTTCCTGTAACAACCCGCTTATCCTAAAAAGTCGGCCACAACAAACCATGCCCCAAAAACATGTCCTACCAACCCATTTAATCGATCTAATTGAGGGAGAATAACATACATGTACTGCTTGGTTCCTCCTTGACCCGTCGCTGGGACACCAGAGACCTCGTCATGGACTCTGAACAATCCACCCAAACATCCGCCACAGCCTGGGACCTGGACAAAGATGAGATCGCCTCAATAGCCTCTGACGAGCTTTACCAGAATCGGCCCAACCGGTGGACGGGCCCCAAGTCGACATGGCGTACTTTGACCGAGGAAGAGAGGCTTCTGTGGCAGTCGATGAAGCGCATAGAGGACCAGGATCTCGCTATCCATCTATACAACACGTTTGCACTGAAGAAACGCGGCAAGGATCCGGAGACTGCGCGGGACCTTATAGTCCAAAATGTAACGCCTTCGTGTCGTTTCAAATTATTGATGGGGTATCAGCTAACGGGTTTGACTTAGGTTAATGGTGAGGAATCAATCTGGGCGCCTCCCAAATTGTGGTCGGCGTGGCCACTGAAAGAGAGCCAGTTGCCAGATGAGGATCTTGTGGCCACCGAAGATGATCCAGATGAGGATTGCACATTTCGGATGGAGGAGACGAAACCGCCAAGCTCCGTCCTAGAAGAGGAAATTGGAGCATTAATACTACGGATTGCCAAGGACAAATTCAACAAGAGGATGGACAAGGCGTCGGCAGTGTATCCTTCTGTCGAGGACGAGGAAGCCATGGCTACGTCCTCTTCCCAGAGCAGTGATGAAGATGCCCAAGAATCAAGGGCTGGCTCTGCGGGATTAGAACCTAGAGACGGGAGTTCGGGGCGCTTGACCAGGGAAGAAGAAGACTCGGACTATGTGAACGACGACTTGGATCCCGACGACAGACGGTCACATCAGCAGAAGACGCAAAAGACATTCGAACCGGCGGTATCGTCAAATGACGAGCTATCATACAAACTTCTCACTCCAGCTGTTCGGCACATTCTATCCCAACTAGATGACACACTCCGCAAGCTCCATCGTTCCCGTACCGTCGGGCTGTCGTACCAGTCAGACTCATCTACCGACTATAGCTCAGACGGTGGCAACGGCGGGCAGTCATCAAGAACTCGAGGACGTCCTCGCCGCGCCACCACAGACTCCGGCCCAGACAAGCCTCAGTCTCCCAAACTCAAGACAACGAAGAGGGGCCGTCCCCGTAAAGCCCAAGTACCCCGTGAAGGCGAGAGCCAGCAGGAGTTCCAGGAGCGAATCGCCAGAGAATCCCATCGACGACTCCCCCCCAAAGCCAAAGATGCCGACGACGACATTCCGCAGAACTCGGATACCGCCAGTAATACTCCTCTCCCCAAAGATGCCGCCGATGCCGCATTCGAAGCATGGCTAGCCCAGGGAACCACCAAAACCGCATACGCAATGCGCAAAGTCAGCCGATGGGGCCTCCGCGACTGGAGCGACGTCGTCGGAGCCGCCTCGCTAGCAGGATTCTCCCCAGCAGTCATCGCCCGAACCACACAGCGCTGCGCCAACCTATTCGGCGAGTCCATGGTCGTGCGCCATCTCCACGAAGTGCCCGCCCCCGCCGGCACGGGCGTCCAGACTGTCAGCTACCGCCCGGAGCCCGTCCAGCTCGCCGACGAGAAGGGCATGGAGCTGGACAGCGACGACGACGCCAGCGACCACATCATGTCCACCGCCTCCCGGTTGCAGCGCCGCATCGCTTCCCAGGCATCCTCGCTCGCTCCGCCCTCCTCGGCCTCGCCGGCCTCGTCCCCCAGGAGGGGTCGAAGGAGGAGCGTCTCGACCGCTAACAGCTCCCGCTCCCCCTCTCGCTCCTCCGTCGGCCTGCACCTCTGCCCGGTGATCGCCTGCGACCGTGCTGTCGTCGGGTTCGCGAGGCGGTCCAATCTTAAGAGACATATGGAGATTGTCCACGGGAAACAGGCCCAGGCGGCGGCACCCGTGAGTGACGTCGATAGTGACGACGAAGTTGTAGGTGCCATCCATGTGGATGGCTTCCTGAAGCCCATTGCGCAGGGGAGGGGATGGAGGGGCGGTGATATTCAGAAACGCCAGAGGAAGAAATTCCATGGGGAGAAGAGGGTAAAAGAATCTAACCCACGAGGAAATACATCCCGGGATAGCGAATGAATAGATCAAGCGGGATATTACGATGATGGCTTGGTGCAGGCCCCGAGAGCAATGGATGGGCAGCAATTTTCAAGACAACAGTTCACATTTACAGTTGACTGGTTGTATCTTCAGGTTCAATTCGCTCCCAAGTCTGGTTCGAATAAGGGTAACAATCTCTCTAACCAACAGCCATTTATGCAACATGAATTGGGTAATAATAACACTCCAGGCCTTCTTTTCATCATCAATGTCATGAATAGCGAAAACCCAATTCTAATAAAAGATAGTCAAGAAAACGCCCCGCGCCAGGCTTCACGTAATGCGAAATCAAAATAAAACCATTCACCCTCCTCGCTCCCATTATCCTAGTTCAATCTCGGGCTCTTCCTCCTATGAGTGCTCTGTGCAAGCGCCGAGATAGGCACATTCTCTCTCCCCTCACTCAAGTTCGGTTTCTTCGTACCACGGTTCGTCCGTGCACTGTGCTTAAACAGGGGCATCGTGTGATCCGAGGGGAATGGCAGAAGACTGGCCAGGGGCTCAAATCCAATCGCCCCAATTGTCAAGTTACTAGATGACACATTTGGGTCAACTTCGCGCAAGCTCAGAGGCGTCGCCTTGTCCAGGGAAATAGACGTAGTATTTGCCGTGGATGGCCGCGGAGAGGGGACCAAGTCAGCAAGCTCGCTATGCTCGCTGTTATCCAAGTCGGCAAAAACCATGGTGTTGTTATCCTTTTCTTGGACAGCTGGCTCATCAGGTTCGCTCCCAGCTTCATCCGTCTCTGAAATAATCATGCTGCGACGCTGGGTCCGAGGCAGAGATGTGGGATAGTGATATTGGACCTTTTGAGGAGTATCGCCGGTTGGCTGGTATTCTTGAAGTGACGTGCTTGCAATTTCCTCCCTCAAGTTGGCCAATGGACGACAGAGCTGCGTCTCCAAAGGCTCAAGGCTCTCCTGTATGTCGTTGATGTCAACCTCCATCTCCTCACCCAGATTCTTTACCCGATCAAAGGTGACCTTGAAGTGCCCAGATATGCTGCCGAAAGACTGATCAACAGTGTTGGACACGGTGTTGAGCGACTGGGAATATGACTCGTGATGGGCGGTGTTCTCTGATTTGGCCCTCGTGACAAAATCATCAAGTGCTTCCATCTGCGAGTCGAGATCTTCAACTTGCTCATCCACCACGCGTACCGTCTCTGCATGAACTGACTTTGCTGTGTTCTGGATAGATGTGCTACGGTCATTGGCGGTGTTCCAGTCGTCTTTGAGTCTCGTTTTCAGCTGATCGCGAGACTTCTTAACCTCTTCAAGGACTTCGTTCTCCTTTTCATCCCAAGAATCCATGCCCTCAGCGTAAGTAGAGAAAGCTCCCTCAAGAGCCACACTTGAATCAGAGATGTTCTTCTGCACTTGTGTTGCTCGTTCCGCAATTCGGGATTCTTGTGCCTCGGCTTGGGCATTAATTAGACCCGTGATCTGGACCATGAGCTTCTGGCGATCATCAGCAGCCTGTCGTCGCTCCTCTTCAAGAGCCTCCTGCATTCGGCTGGAAATGGTGGCGTTTTGGAGGACGATGGTGTTTGTGGCGGACTGAAGCTGCCTCCGTAAGTTGTCAGACTCGCTACGCTGAGTTGTGATGTGTTTAACGAGCTCGTCGAAGATAGTCTTGCAATCTTTCCCAAGAGTGCTGTAAGATGTGTGAAGCTACGTAATTATGTTAGTCTTGACCTCTTATATATTAAGACACGAACAGAAGCTTTGAAGACTTACCTGGTTGTGAAAGGTTGCCATTTCGCTGACGATGTCTGCAGAGATTTTCTCTGCCGCCTTGGAAATAGCCTGAAGACTTTCGCCAACCCGTTCTTTCACATTATCCCTAGTTTCCTTGATCTCTTCCAGGACCTTATCCATGTCATCCTTTGATTTCTGCTCCTGCTGAATCAACTGCGCCTTGGACTCTCCAAACACCTCCAAATGTTCATCCAGGAACGCTTGTGTCGATGTGAGTTTCTGCAATTCCTCCTGTACAAAGGCTTCCATTCGACGAGAAACGCTCGAGATGTGTTCTTTTTGTTCGTCTTGAAACTCCTGGATCCGACGTTCAATCATAGTTGTCACTTCTGCGACCTGACCCTGAGAGGTTCCCCACGCAGTTCGGTTGAGAGACTGTAGGTCGGATTTGCGTTTGTTTTTCGAGTGCAGGCCAGACACGTCGTGGATAGTCTTGTTGAGTTTTTCAATGAGCTCTCCCCCAATGACGGCCAGCTTGCCTTCGGTCTCTTGGTGTGCCTTTCTCAGCTGAGTCTCCTCGTCCAAGTTTCGCCTCGTAGTAGAGAGGACAATCTCAGTCTGATCAAGTACACTTTTCGTTTGGTCGAGTTCTTCTTTTGTGCCGTCGTGATCCTTCTTCAGTCCAATGAACGACACATTGAGCGCATGCAGATCCTGGACCCTGTTGCGAAGGTTGTTCTCGAGCGTTTCCATTTTGGCAGTTTGCTCCTCCATGACAATTCGTCGAGTCTCACTTTGCGCTGTCATCTCCTCATACGCTTCGTTTGATAGATACACGCCATTCCGTTGCCTCGTTGATATTAATTCGCTCTTTAGCTTCTCGATTTCGTGACTGAACTCCTTAAGTAGTGTCTTCTTGTTTAACAACGGATTCATCTGCGGCTTGTTCTTGATGTTCTTGGCGCGGAAAGCATAATCCAGGGTGGAAATAGTCTCCTCCAAATTACTCTTTGCAGGCGATATTGTGGCGATAATGCAAGTCTTTGTCCGTCCTCCTAACGAATCTTGGAGAATGCGAGTCAGCTTTGACTCACGGTATGGAATATGGGCGCTGCGGTCGACAAGGGCGTTTATCACACGTCCGAGAGTGAGCAACGACTTGTTGATGAGGCCAGCTTCGGCAGCACGCTTGTTCTCTGCCCCCGAGCGCTGAATGTTCTCGCTTCCGGCCAGATCCACGAGGTTCAGCTTGCCTGCGCTGAGATATTCATCGGCACCGTTCTCGTTGGGTTTCTTGACGTAGGTTGAAATGGTGAAAACAGTATGACTGCGGGAACTGAGGTCGTTGCACTTTGTCGCGGCTACTTGGCGCTTCAAACTGCCGTCCTGCAGCACCTTGATTCCTTCGGCCGCGTTTTTGATGTGTTTCTCTTCCATGCCCTGGACCACGGTAGAGATATGGCCTCGTTTCGATGCGTCGTCGTAGATTTTCAATTTGGCGCTCTCATCCGCAGACAGCAGATCGCGGAGGTCTTCGTTGTATAATTCGATAAAGGAGCACTTCACGAGGCTTTCCGTATCGCCTGCTTCGAGCTTCTCGAAGAGTTTCTGTAAAACGCGCGGGATGATGCCTGCCTCGTCGGAGAGCATGCCGAGAGTTTCCGTCATATCACCGGACATAGTGTATGTTTTACCGGTGCCTGTCTGGCCGTACGCGAAGATGGTGCAGTTGTATCCGGCAAGCATCTGTCAATAATTGTGTTAGACCGGGCTGACAAACCTCAGGCGCAATGCTTGGTAGTAATAACAAACCTCTTCCAGAATAGGCCTGACCGTGTCCTCAAAAATCATGCTCTGATCTGCAGCCTGAGAGAAGACGCGATCGAAGCCATATGACTTGTTGCTGATAGCATTGGAGCCCATTAACAGTTCAATGGACTTTCCCTTGACACTATCGGCCTTCACGACGTAGGTGCTGTTTTCCTTGATTTCGCGCTGGTTCCGACCTCGACAACGCACCACAACATTGATGTTGGTCTCCTCGCCGGTGCTCACATCCAAGATCTCGAAGTCGCGCTCCTTGCGCTTTGTGCCCGCCGTCGCCGTAGACGCCACGGAAACCGCAGGTGAGACTGCGCCATTGCGATCGAATCGCCCAGCCAGCTGTCTGGTTGCTGTCGAATGCCTCGTCGGTTGTCTGAGGTTGGAGCTGCGTGTGCTGGCCCCGGACCTTAGGCTGGAACCCATGCCTGGCCGAGGCAGCTCCCGGTCGGCGGCGCGTGTCTGTCGTGGGTGCGCCATAGTAGGCAGGTGTGAATAGAATGCTGGACCGCGAGGGACGCAGCAATCTATTGGGTTGGTGGTATTAGGTCCAGGTCGGAGGTCTGCGAGGAGGGTGGGAAAAATTGATGCTGATTAAATCATTAAGTTCGAGCGTTGGGCCCGTTGAAAGTGAAAATAGTGGTGTGTGGTAGTGTGGAGGGAGTTCAGCGTGAGGGAGGGGGCCATCTGCAGGGGAACGCGGGTGAGGGCGCTTCGAGGTTCTGGGATCAAGCATCAATCAACACACTAGCAGCATTCCTTGACCGCCCCGTGTTGCTGCGGCAACCAGCTCCAGTACTACCTACCCTGGAACGAACATCACTTCCATCAAGCTGCCAACTCGCTTATTAGCCACCAAGTCTCAATTTCAATGTAGCAAATGTTTACACTCTGTTGACTAATGCTGCTTAGGCGTAGGAATTGATCAACAGTGGGAATTTACAATGTGAATCCAGTGGTTCTATACAAACTTGCATGTTCCAGTCAACGCCTGTAGTAACAGCTGTCTGGCTGGATAAATGTTACACAAGCGGCGAAGCTCAACACTAATGCAACCATATGCGTAAATTTTAATTGCGATATACAGATAACTTTATACACATTGCTCATAATCTAAGCCAAGTAGCTCCCTAATCTAACCCGCAACCGTCCAAAGCAAACCTATATGCATAGGTAGATGAATACCTAGTATGCCAATTCCAATGCTAATGTTGATAATGCTGACTCTACGATAAAAAACAAAACTTACAATTCATCTCTAAGCCTTCTCAGCCCCCTGCGCTGTTGAATTTTCCTTGTTGGATTTCAAATTTTGCAGACCTGTCTTGAACTCCTTGTGGTCCTTCTGTAGGTTGACTTGCACAAGGAATAGACTCACGAGGAACCCAAGAGCAGTGAAGCACGTGTACACGATGAACATGGTCCTCATGGACATCCAGTACGCGCCGCGTGCGACAT